GGAGGCGCCGACTGGGATTGAACCCAGGCCTGCTGGGGTGAGAGATAATCACGCTTACCACTACACCACCGGCGCCGTTAAAGAGAGAGAATGCAATTGACCCTCGTGGGATGCATATAGTCTCGGAATAACCTTACCTCTACTGGAACTCCAAATGTTGCTCTCGTAAGAGTCCTCCTGTGAATCCCTGGAAAAATTGTTTCGCAAACTTCCTCGTTGCCATCTCCTTTTTCGATTAAAATTTGATTTTTAAAGTAGTTCAATGGTTTTTCGGTCATCATAATATAGTTACTATCATCTGATGATGCTGAATGCATCGTTTCGTCATCTGACGTTGCATCTTCTTCTGACGTTGCATCTTCACCATCGGCAACAACATTCTGTTTGCCCGGTGTATGTGTGTGTGTGTGTCATCCTCTATCAATCACCCAGCCGGGGGCGTTGGACAAGTAGAACTGCGAATAATTTGATCAAATCTCATGCTCCGTAATGGTGCCCTTTATGTTGTGAAGACTAGTACTTCAAAAAGGTAACTATTGAGGCAAGACAGGGTGTCCTCAACAAGTTAAGGGAACAAGATGCACTAGATGTCCACAACAGGTACAGCAAAACATCACATAGACGCCCTTATTCACACTAACTACTCAGGGGGTAGAAGGTCAAGAAGAGCCACCGCCGCCAACTAAAGCTTAAACCGGGTACCTGGGACTCCCACGATATACCCGCGGCAATGGTCAGCAGACGATGCCCTGTGCGTATTTAGTATGTAATATGTTTTATTTGGATACACAAAATGTTTGAAGCCATGCGTCATCTAAACCATAATTTGCATCACCACAAATCCCCTTGTCAACAATCTTCAACTGGAACGTACTCACCAAATCACTTCACCCGGGAGCGCATTCCCGATGCTTCCACGCATATTTTTCTCTCCACTCTAACCACACAACAACCAAATATCACTTTTCTTCACTTTTCTTTTTCAAGACACTCCATACACAAAAGCAATGCACATCGCAAAACCCTAACAATAGATCAGCGCCGTGCCCATCACCGCGTAAATAAACAGAAATTAAAATTTTCACTCGCGATGCCACAAATTTTTGGTCCGGGAGAAACAATCAAACCACGCAGCGCCAAATCTTCTGATGCTTGCAATTTTGCAAACATGATGAATCATGTTTTCTTTCTTGGTTCTAAAACTTCTCGGAAAGCGAGAAAACCACCACTCACACACGTATAACCGTCCGGGAGGCAGATTGCCAGCGCTAATCCGACAAATGCAGCCGAAAGCTATGAAAGAGAATGCACGCACAAAACAGAGAGCAAATTTAAACACAACCGTATCCAAAGGCGTTCGAAACTCGGTTGGGTAACGTTGATAATCGACGTTCTAAATAGTTCATTGAGAATATTATAGTACGAAAATCGTATTATCAATCGCGGATATTATATAACACACGGTGATGAAAGTGTGATATTTATTAACATTGGGGATGGTGCGATTAAAACGGGCAGGTACGTGTTTCGTGGGTAAAAACGTAAAATATCAATATTTTCTTCTTTTTCTTTTTCTTTTACTTTATTATGAGACTTTCAGCCCTGAGTAGGTTCGTCTATTGATATCAATGTTTTTATCGTGCAGCTCTCATTGCTATCTTATTTCATGATAATCGGAGCACTCCGCACTTTTCTAAAACTATCAAGTGATGCAAAAATAAAATAACAAGTGACACCATATGAGGATGGACGCGTTTCACAACATTCTGTTTGCCCGGTCTGTATTTAATCTCATAATCGTAGGCCTCCAGCCTTAACTTCATTTGTATTAGTCTGTCGTTGGAGGTTTTTAGATTTAAAGCATATGAGAGAGGTTTATGGTCGTTAAATAAGGTGAATTTCCGCCCATACAAATATGGCTTGAAATATGTGCAAGCCCAGTCGATTGCTAAGAGCTCCTTCTCAATTGTTGAATATTTCTCCTCGGTTCTCGTTAGGGTTCGCGATGCGAAGGCTATGGGTTTGTCTTGGCCAATTGGGCCTTGCGACAACACTACTCCTAATGAGCAATTTGATGCGCCCGTAGTAAGCACGAAACGCTTAAAAAGGTCTGGATACTGTAGCACGTGGCTACTAGTTAAAATACTATTGCATCGGTTGAATGCAGAGATGAATTCGTGGGTATTGTCAATCTTTTCCCCTTTGCGTAGTTGCTGAGTCAGTGGTTTAGCTATCTTTGCAAAGTCCCTAATGAACTTTCAATAATAGCCAACCACTCCTAAAAATCCTCTCAGTTCTGTTTCGGTTTTGGGTAAAGGCCAATTTTTTATTGCACTATTTTTCTCTGGATTGGGTTTTACTCCTTCCGGAGTGACCACATGTCCAAGAAAGGCAACCTCTTTCAGAAGGAACTCGCATTTATAGAGTTGTATTTTGAGGTTGTATTTGCGAAGTGTTTCTAGGTTTTTAAGGTTTACCAAGTGCTCTTGTAGGCTGGTGGAGTAGATGATAATATCATCCATATAAACCAGACATCTCACGCCTATGTGTTAAGTCAGTGTGAATGTACCAGGATATTCGGAAGCATTATTAAGCACATATTCTTACGTGCAGTCCATTCATCAGGACCGCCTAGATAAATTTAGCAACAAACAGTTGTAATTATTCACTTTAATAAGGAGAGAGCAAAACGACCAATGTGCACTTTTCACGGGTCCCTCTACTCTATTACTTAAGACAAATGGAATCTCCAAATCGGGGTACTTGAGTAACATCAAGAAATATTTTGATCGGATGGAGTACCGATTGACACTGATAACTTAGGGGAAATGGCTCTAGATTGGGTCCGTCGCAAAAATATCTGCTATTTATCAATTTTATCTAGATGAACGCGTCATTGGAACGGTACTAATGGATATTTTTGATTGCTATTAAAAATTTAGTCGATTGCTGAATTTATGTATGGGCCCAAATTGGGGACATTTAGGCCGACATTACATCCATTTCCCGTAAATACAAAATAAATCGTTAGAGCAAAAATTTCCACTCTCAGTGCAGCTTATGTTGGTTACCCTATATCGGTAACTCACGAGAGCCTCTCTGATTCCGTTTTTTATATTTTTTTATATGAGAGTTTTTATATGATCGTTTTTTTTTCAACACCATTCACAAAGGTACACGGCGAATGAGAACGACTCAAATTTGAGTTTAGTTCACTCATAATCGCCAAAAGTGCAGGAACTCAGCGATGAGTAAAATTTGTCTCATGGTTTCCTGTGGAAAACCTAAAAAATCTGGCGGATAATGAGGAAATTGACGAAAATTTTATTCAGTCTCGGAGTAGTACCAATAGACTGAGTGAATCCAATCTTTACTTTTCTCAAATTCGGGAATTTTTCCCTGGAAAATCCTGGAAAAACCTGGGAAAACATGAGGCAAATTAACTCATCGCTGAGTTCCTGCACTTTTGGCGATTATGAGTGAACTAAACTCAAATTTGAGTCGTTCTCATTCGCCGTGTACGGTAATAGGCCAATTCTCCGAACACGATGCCTCCGGTAAAATGTGTAACGGAAAACTGGCAATGTTTGAAAAATCATTGCTCAACATTTTATCAATAGATTTCAAATATTTTCATACCGAATAAATATATCAAGTATGTAGCTTCAAACGGCGCCAATAGCTTTGAAATTTGTCTATAAATGACTGAGCTATGATTTTTCAAACATTGCAAGTTTCCCGTAACACATTTTACCGGAGGCAGTGTTTTTGAAGTGTTAAATGACGTATGTATCACATTGGTTGGTCACAACTTTTGCAAGCATCCATCCCCTAAAATGCCTCGTTATTAATGGTTGATCCACAGACAAACAGACATAACACATTGAATGTTGTTTAACATAAAACATCGTCAGTAAAACACTACCGCCAAATGTTGAGTATACTGTGATGGGTAGTAGGCTGAACAGATGGCGGTAGTGTGTAAACGTCAAACGCAAGGGTTATTGACTATGTGCGCCACAGGCGGCGGTACTACCAACTAAAAACATTTAAATTGACCGTTAAATGCGTGTTCGATGAACAAATTGTCAGTGTTATGTCTGTTTGTCTGTGGTTGATCCATATCTACTCACAAGGAAATGCGTAGATTGCCGTCCATCGTAGCCGTAAATTAATTACACAGCGTTTGATCAGTGAATCCTCTCACCGAGCATCGTTAGGTGAGATACATTAGGCTCGCAATTTCACAAAACAATCATCCAACTGCACCGCAATTAACAAAGCCGACAGCTTTTCCTCACTCGGCCAGCTCAGCGTGCAATTTTAATAACTCAAATATGCTAATCAGCATCAGCTCCTCAAGGTGTTTGAGCGGTGCGTGTGTTACTTACGGTATGATTGAAGTACAAAGTAAACTTAATTACCGGTTGAACAGTGTGTGTGAGCATACATCTTTATATCTGATTGAGCGTAATTTTAATACCTTCAGATCGATAATGCGTTCCACATCGTAATAGACGGGGACCCGGCTTCGGAGCTCAACTGACTGTTCTAACTCGTTGTTTGCTGCGCAACGAAGGAAAAAACATCAACTATCGTAAACAAACAGTCACTCACCGCTCAGCGATCATGCACACTGAGAGTGAGTGATGATCAGGGAACGCCAATGGAGAGAATCTGCGAGAAGAGGTAAGTGACTCACGGCCACGATCGCCAGTGCTGCCGAAACAGCCTGTAAAATTTGGATTCATCATTTTACTTACATTAAAACTATTTTCTAACAAATCTTCACAGATTTAGTTGGTCTTCAAACCTTAAATGCACATAATTTAGTAGAATATAAAATTTAGTGTTCCATTCTTGCAATACATTACAAGAAAAGGCCGTTCTCTTGTTTTCTCTCTCTCTCGCGTCACAATCCGCGCTCTCGCCAAAACTGACCGCGCTACTCTCCCTTTGACCATATATTAACGATCGTACCGTTTGAATCGAGTGCAGTGTGCTTCGAGAGATTCGGTCGTTCGTTTACGGGTAATTCATATAGGGACGTGTGGCACCGGGATTGCGGTTTCCAAAATCGAAAACAATTGTGCTGATAAGACTCGTGAAGAGTGAGCTCAACTTCAGCTGATAAGCGTGTGCCGTGTCGTGGATAAGTTTCGGTGCTGTGTGAGCTGTGATAGAAAACTAGGAAAATTTCTCGAAACGTCAAATCACCATGAGGAACCAGTTGATCAGTCAGGTGAGATCATTTGGCGTTTGTTTTTTTTTTTTTCAAGTTTGACGGATATCATTCATCCTCGTATTTTTAGCCAGTGTTTGACTCATATGCAATTTTGAAAATTCTCACTGAGTTCCATACAATCCTGTTAGTTGTGAGTCATTGGATCGTTTCCCGAGACTTTTCCGCAAGCGGGTCCGTTCGCTTGCGGTGAAGTGGGATGACGTAGGAAACTATTGCCTCGTCCGAAATGGATAGATGGTTGAAGAAGGAAAACACTTGCTGAAATTTGCTGTTAGTGGGTGAGAACACATTTCCTCATTTTCCACAAACTTCGATACTCTGCTGCCGCTGTTGATCTTATTGGATGTGTGTGAGATCGTTTTGCTCCCGTGGTTGAGAGGTGATGCTATAACGCCTATTTAAAAAAAAAACACCGGACAGTATGGTGTTTATTTTTAGAGTTTTATTTTCATACGATGAGGTGCGCATCGGACTGTGCACTATGGAAAATTTGCACTCCTTGTTTTACCTGAGCGACAGACTTTGGATACAGCGGAATTGTTCATATTGTTTGTGAATGTCTCATCGAACATAAACAAACCCGGGATTTAAATTCCGGACTGATTCGTGATTAGGGCATACGTGCTTTTGTAAGCAAACAAATCAATCGCGGATAATAACGCAATCTCTCAAACATACCTTACTAATCAATATAGAATTCATTCCACTACCATTTGGTATAGTTTGTTTGCGAAATTGAGTTTTTAACCGGCGACTGATCTGTTTGTATACAAATGTATGTAATCACGAATCAGTCCGGAATTATCAATAAGATTATAAAATTGATTGCACTTGAATCAATATAGTTTCTTACTTAAAGTACTTTGCTGAATTTGATTGAATAGGTCGTACTATTCTTCCAGTCGCAGTGTTTTTCGCATATGTTTAACGCATCTGTCTGTCAATTGGTTGATTTCAATTGAGCCTAATCTTATCATCAAGTCTGACTATACGCGAAGAGCAGAATCAGTAAGAGATATGAGGATTTCAATTGCTTCAGACAAGCCAACAGACAATGGTATCACAGTTTGTTATGTGATTTCACTCTCTCAAGGAAATTTCTCACCATTTAAAGAATAAGTCATATAGGGGAAATGCAGGTAATGTCGGCCTAAGTGTCCCTAATTTGGGCCCATGCATAAATTCAGCAATCGACTAAATTTTCAACAGCAACCAAAAATATCCATTAGTAACGTCCCAATAACGCGTTCATCTAGATAAAATTGATAAATAGCAGATTTTTAGCGATAGGCCCAATCTTAGAGCCATAGGCCAACATTAGAGACATTTCCCCTAGCTAAATTTAAGCTTTCAACGTAATGAAGGAAGTTTACAACACTTTGAGTATACAAGGTGAAGAAGGGTAAACTCAGTGCGTCAAGATAATTTAATTTATGGAACAGTCCTAAATACCTCAAGGTTTCTTAAGAAAGCTCAAACTGTAATTTTAAGATTGAGTTCTGTCTCTTAAGTCACGGGGATATTGAAACCATCTGGAAATCTGGAAAAATCTCGAATAGATATTATTGATCGCGAATATCTCGCAACTGGAAAATTTTAGCAAGAAATTCCTTCAATTAATTTTCACTATTTTTATTATCTATTGAATGAACTAAAAAATCCATGCGTTTTGTGCAAGAAAATGCCTGGTTTTGTCATCAGTAAACGAGGCTTTTCCGTGATGGGAAAAAGTGGTTTCCGTAACTCAGTCGCTGAATACTGATACCGAGCACGTAATTCGACATCAAATCTACGGTCGTGTCTTGGATACAATCTTTAACTTTTTTATCTTCTCCACGCTGCTTCAAATTGCTACTCATCTAACCTAAATGTATTTTATGTTTAGCTGCAACAAAAGAATGAAAAAATCTGTCAATATCGCTCTCCTTTTGATGCTTAATTTATAGTAAAGCGAGATTCCCCGTGCAAATTTTCAAATAGACCAATATATAAGGATCAATTAGTCTTTTATTCTCTTCATCGGCTATCTCTTTCGTTAATAACTCGGCAACAAAACCGTTTCCGTATTCCGGCACATTTGTCGTAATTGATGCTAGACCGTGCCTTCTTTCATCTCATTGTGCTTCGAAAATGTTCGTTAATGTCTTTACATGCCTTGGCGATACAAAGAGAAAGTCAATTAAGATAATTGATCAATGTAGATTGGTCCATTTGAAATATTGCACAAAATTTGTCAACCATTTCTGGTTCATTAACCAACGCGGGTAGTTGTTATCAATCAAAAGCACCGCTCACAAGTGACGATCGTTACTGGCAATGCTACAACAATCCGCAGAAAGAACTGTTTTGATGTTGAAGTAGATATCATCCAGTGACTAGTGCTGTATCTACCTAAGTAGGTACGATCGACCAAACGATTTTCGCACAGAAATTGACCATGTCGAATGTTTCAAAAGGTCCTATCTGCTTTGATCGATTCTATTCATCGACTTTCTCTTTTGATAGCTACAGCTATACCAACAGATTTCACCCTATTTTTGCCTTGTAGTTTGATAGCATCCAGAACGTCAAATACAACACGGAATGCTTTTGCAGCTGAGTTATTGACGAAAGAAACAAAATCAATTAAGGGAATCGAGCAAAGCAGAAGGTTCTAACCTTTTGAAATATTGGTCTAGAATTAAATCTGCATCATCAAACAATTTTCTTGCAGGAATTTATGCCTTCACCAAAAGCTGAGTACGATGCTGGGAGGACCATTTCGATGATTTTACCATAGAGGTAACTCTAAGACCACTGGGTCCCGAAGAAAATCATTATTATTTTTGGCTCACTCAGTACCAGAACAACGGTCCCAAGCAGTCCCAAGCTATTTCACTCACCCCTGCATGTTCTGCATGAATCCACACACCCCTGATGCTATCTGTCAAACTTTCATAGCGAATCAAAACAAACATAGTGTAGTAATAGAATTTCAACTAGAATAGGGTACGTTAATCGTTTGCTTGGGACCAATAGGCTACTAAAGTGGTGAGCCAATTTAAAATCGTTAGTTTCGTATTGATTGTTGATTTTACCACAGAACTGAAGTACTAGAACCAATTCCTGGTCGATTGAAAGATGTTTTATCATAATCCATTTACAACAGACGTAGATGGTACGCAACACCTTCGCGTTGGTTCTCCACGATATTCCAGGTCTCGTGGCCGTAGAGGATCACCGGTCTAATCAGACAGTCAACTTCGTGCGACGGCGAATTTTATTCGGTCGGAGCGTCCCCCGGAGTCCAAAGTAGACACGATTACCTGCCATAACGCGTCTTTGAATTTCTCTGCTGGTATCAGTTTCGGCGGTCACCAGTGAGCCCAAAATACACGAACTCATCGACCACCTCGATTTCGTCACCGTCAATCTGAACTCGGGGTGGGAGGCTAACATTGGCTTCCCTAGAATCTCTTCCTATCATGTATTTTGTCTTTGATGCGTTGATGGCAAGTCCAATCCGCCTAGCTTCAGCCTTCAGTCTGATGTACGTTTCCGCCATCGTCTTAAAGTTCCGTGCCATGATGTCGATGTCATCGGCGAAGCCAAGAAGCTGTATGGACTTCCTGAAGATCGTGCCACTCGTCTCTATCCCAGCTCATCTGATCACACCTTCTAACGCGATGTTGAATAGCAGGCATGAAAGTCCATCACCTTGCCGTAGCCCGCTTTGAGATTCAAAGGGACTCGAGAGTGTCCCCGATACTCGAACAACGCACATCTCTCGATCCATCGTCGCCTTGACCAATCGCGTCAGTTTATCTGGAAATCCGTACTCGTGCATAATCTACCATAGCTGATCTCGATCGATTGTGTCGTACGCGGATTTGAAATCGATGAACAAATGATGTGTGGGCACGTTGTTTTAGCGGAATTTCTGCAGAACCTACCGAATCGCGAAAATTTGGTCCGTGGTAGCGCGGGCTCCCATAAATCCCGCCTGGTATTGCCCCACGAACTCTCTTGCAAATGGTGACAGGCGGCGGCATAGAGTTTGGGAGAGTACCTTGTAGGTGGTGCAGTGTGATCGCGCGTGAGTTGCAGCAATCCAACTCGTCACCCTTTTTGTAGATTGGGCTTACGACACCTTCCATTCACTCCTCCCAAATCTAGGCAATTACCCAGTGCAGCGCTCTAGCCAGTGCGTCACCACCGTATTTTAATAGCTCACTTGGTAGTTGATCTACACCAGTTGCTTTATTGTTCTTCAGCCGACCGATCTCCTCCTCAACTTCTTGAACATCAGGGGCCGGTAGCCTGTCGTCTTCTGCGCGTGCTCCAAGGTCTGTTGCCGTGCCACATGCGTTTTCTGCTGCTTCACCGTTGAGGTGCTCGTCATAGTACTGTTTCCACCTCTCAACCACCTCACAGTCGTTCGTGAGAAGGTTACCGTCCAAGTCCTTGCACATTCCGGCTTGCGGCAAGTAGCCTTTGTGCGAACTATTTAGCTTCTCGTAGAACTTCCGTGTGTCGTTTACCCGGTACAGATTTTCCATCGCCTCGCGATCTCGATCTTCCTGCTGACGCTTCTTCCTTCGGAAAACCGAGTTTTGTCTGTTCGTGCTTGTCCGTATCAAATGAAGAATGATGGTTTCTAAAATGGCTCTCTGACCAGGATTTCCACAATTTGGCCATTTAGGTTACCGGCACCGGTTCCGATAAGGCACAAAAGAACACTTCCAAAATCTCATGTAACTGATACCTTCCGACGGCTCAAACCATAGGATTTTTCAACCAGAAGTAAATAGACATCATACCATATCAACATGTGGATCTGGCCACTTTTCATTTAGTGGTAGCGTCGGACGGCTCAAAATTTATGATTTTTTATCCAGAAGTAAATAGGCATCATGTCATGGAGTCATGGTGTAATTTTTTTTTCGATGTAAAAACAGAGGGTAATTTTAAATTTGAAAAAAAAATCATCTTCGTGTGGTAAATCGAAGAAAAATCTT